GTAACTCTGATGCCTTAGGGTGTAATTGAAGGAAAAATTGTGATTTAGGGCGTGAATGTGTTACGGGATTGAACCTATATCCCTTAATTTTAAAGGTTTTAGGCATAATCTTAAAACAATAATTAGATGGTTTAATTGTATTAAAATTGTAAATTTACTTGAGATAATTATAGCGTTGAATGGGTTACAATTTTCTGAGAGTTTGGGTTTTTACGAAATTGAAATCGGAGGTCCGGAAGGCCTCCAACGGTGAAAAACGCAAGAAATTGCATGCTGTCTGTCACGACTGTTCATGTTTTTGGTCGGAATTGTTTTGGACGTAACTTTTGATCCGTAAGTCCATTTTGGCTCCTGTTCAAAGTGTTGGAAAGCTAATGGACAGGGCTATAACATAGTATAGATAAGGTAATTGGTTTCCTAATATTTTTATATCTAATTATGTTTGAGAAGTCAATCGTGTATATGTTCTATTAATGACTCATGTTCTGGTTCAGTGATGTCTTGATATTTTAATGCTGCAATTTTCCTGATGAATTACTATGAGGGTAACTATGATAATATGTGATAATATGATGAATTAATATGAGTAGGACTGTGAAGTTTATGTGATTAGTAGGCGATAGTATGAGAATTACCGCGAGTATAATTATGAATTAATATGTGATAATATATGATAATATGATGAATTAATATGAGTATGAATGTGAACGCTATGTGATTTTTATATGATTATATGATGATTTCTATGATGTATGATGATGATTATTATGATTATATGATGACATGATGTATGATGATGATTATTATGATGAACTATGATGACATGACGTATGATGATGATTATGATGATGAGCTATGACGTTTGATGATGATGAATATGATGAATGATGATGCATCTATAATGTTGTTATGAGGATGATTTGTAACGTGTGCATCATGCATTCATGTGCATCCGGAATTCGATTACTTTGCCTTCAATCCCATTGTGTGGATGTGAAGTATTTTGATGTGCTCCAATTCTCACGTAGAATTGATCCTATTGATGGGGATCTATGGAGGGTTGATGGCCCAGTGTCCATCGTGCTGTGATGATTGGTACCACATGCATTGAGTCTTGTCGCATTTGCATTTATGGGTCCTTTTGTATGAATTGTGACGTTGTGACCTTTGAGGCATATTGAAGGATATGAATGTGTTGAATATGATTATGATGCCATTTATATGTTGATTTTTATACATTTATTATTATGAATTGTTTTACTCATCCTGCCTGTTGAATGTTACCTCCACGTGGGTAACGTGCAGATGATCAGGTTTAGTCGTGGACACTGTTGAGGATTTTTGAAGTCTTTGAGTTGTTAGCCTTTTGGTTAACTTAGAGGGTCTTGCTCTGATATGTAGCATCGGGTTGGGTTCTTTTGAGTTAAACTATATACTGTTGAGTTATTTTGCTTATCTTCCCGTATGAGGAAAACCTTGATTTATACCTTTTGAGTTCTGCTGCTTTGTGCAATTTGATGTATTTTGAGAAAACCCGTTGTACACAGAGCATTGACTTATTTTGAGCTATTGAGAAATGTACACCGTTTGAGGTAATTTTTATTGAGTTAAATAATTTACTCTGATATCTGTGTTATTTTTCCTTAATAATTGTGGGGTAAAAAAGGGTGTTACAGTTCCACTTAAATTAGTTGTTTTTGAGAAGTCTAGGAAAATACCATCTATTCCATTATATTATGGCTTTAGTATGTCAACATGATGGTTGTGGTGTGAACCCATGCTTAACTTTTCTACACCTTTTTCCTACAATTGATTTAAATAAAGAAGAGTACTAACTAAAAATTCCTATTACTTTAAGAATATAAAACTCATTCCATAGTTTTTTCTGAAAGAACACTCACTCTAGAATTATATTCCCACACTCAAGCAATCTTCAAGATCGCCTGGATTATATCAGGAAAGCCTCCGACGTGTGCACCCACCACAAGTATCTCTGAAGACATGGTTGTTGGAGAGTCCAGTAGAGTCGGGAGCACCAATGAGATTAATGCTTCATGACCTCAAGAGAGAGATACACCACATCTTAACCCAAAATCTTAAGACATTAGTTAAATATATTTTCTCTCTTATAAATCTAATATTTTACCCATTCATTGACAATACGAGACTTTAATTATTCACAGGTGCATCCAACAATGGCTTCCAAAACAATGAATCCAAATGTCTCGGACTCTGAAGGTATGACGAATATATATCCAAATATTTTATTTTAACACTTGGATATTGTAAAAAGGCACTGGTAGCTTCCTTGTCATTAATTAGTTTGAGAACTTAAGTACTTATATTCAAACAAGAGAAAGATTCAGTCTTACAATAAAATGTTTTAAGGATGGTTATACAAATTGTAGGAATACATTGTATCAGATAAATATATACTATCAATTATATTAAAATGATTAAACTCAGTCATCATTTAAAAGAAAAAGGAACACACATTTGTTGACAAAAATTATAGCCTACCTTTATTTCGAGGTTGTGATGCATCAAGCTCTGCTTTCATCTTTCTTTTCTACTTATTTTCTTCAAAAACAGATGGAACCTCTTTTTTCATAAATGTGATCATCATCTAGCTTGATAACACATTCAATATAGACAAACACAACAAAATTTCCTTTTAAAGATTTCTGAAGTTCTCTTTTTCAAAAGAAAAGATTTTCTAGAGATCTAACATAAACTTTACATTTGTATCTAAATAATGTCTCATTGAATCAAAACATAAGTCAGACAAGAACAAGCATACCACATTTTATTTGTTATACTCGATTCAATATTCAGACTTAACCAATAGAATCTGAACACAGCTTTGAGCGAATTTTAATTCAATGGCCATCTGACCACTGATTCCACTACTCTCACCAAATTTAATACCACCAGTACTTAAATCTGGGTTGTTGACTCTTCTCCTAATCAATGTTGTAAATAATCTTATGGAAGATGCCTCTGCATCTTTCTTTGATATTTGTAGTAGATACATTATGATACTCATATTTTTATATGACCATACATGTAAGTACAAACAGACTCTTATGTGCCTTACATCTCAATCTAGCAGTAGATCATATGTCACTCCAGAGTGTAAGTCTATAATGAGATATGAACAAAATCTTGTTTTAAGCAATGACAATAATCTCATTATCTTGGATTAAATCTTTTGACTTTGAAATCATTAACAAACTCAGAACCAGATATCGTTAGCTATCAGAGATTGACATAAAGCAGATCAGAGTACTGTCTTAGTACGGCTAACAGAGCTCAAAGAGAAGTTGAAGATTTCTCATAGAAGTGTCTTTTAAAACAACTTCCATAATGATCCTCAACCAAGAAGCAATGGAGTTTCTTAAGATATCACCTTAAAAAACAAACTTCATATAATCAAATATTTTGAAACAAGATAGATTTAACATCTCTTACTTTTCAATACTTGATTTTTATTTCAGAACACAGATGCTTATTTTCATCTACATCCTATACTAATATCAGCTTCAAACGATTAAGCATTGAAGAGCATCTGATATTATGTTCTGGTAGAAAATGAGCTCGCGCCAGATTGCTCCGATGGGTTGTACTTAAGTGCTCAAGTGTCGCCTACAAGACCCCGCCCTAGAGACAAGTGAGATAATGTTTGAGACCATCACACTTGTCCACATGTTACTTTATTTTTTTAATCATTTTATTGAGTTAATACATCATTTATTGACATTTAAGCACTTTCACTTTTCTTGTCATTTTGAAATGGTATGAATTTATTGTTCATAAATTACAACAATTTCATAGTAATTTGAACAAGTATGAAAAATATTACTCAAAAATTTAAAAGTTTAAGAGTAATAAAATAGTTTTCAAAATTTTAAAAAATAGCCAAGATTAAAATTGTATGTATAAAATTTTTGTAGGACCAAAATATATCTTTTTTATAAGGACTAAAAATGAAATATGAGATATTTATAGGGATCAGAAACATATTTAACTGTATTAACAATAATATGAAAAATTTATAAAAAAACAAAAGTTATAAGGTAAACCAACATTTTTTTAATTGTAGGATAGTTATATTAAAATTTTAAAGGTAAAATTGAAAAAATAAATTGGTTACTCCAAAAAGTAGTATATAGATAGTTATAAATTACTAATAATAGAAAATATAACTCAAAATCATTAATGGTTACCATTTTAAAGTAGTATATAGATAGTTATAAATTACTAATAATAGAAAATATAACTCAAAATCATTAATGGTTACCATTTTTTCATGTGCAACTCATGATAAATAAAACTCAAACATTCAATTAAGAAATAGACCAATTCTTAGCATAATTGTGCTATAAGTAGATTACCCATCATCACTCATTCAGGGTATTTTGAAAGAAAAAAAATAAGGAAAAAATTAAAGGGGACTCATCAAATATTAAAAGGAAGTTAAGAGAAAAAGAAAAAAAATTGACGTTTAATCGTAAATGGTAAAAATAATAAACTGTCCATTAATATATTTGGATTACCTTAAATCTGAAAATAAAAATAACTAATTTTGTTAACGTGGCAGAATAATTGAAAAATTAAATGAGAGAGAATTATTTTTAAAAAATTGAAAAGAGAAGTTAAATTAAATGAAAAGCAGTCAAATACATGAATTGCTGAAGAACAATTAAGGAATAAAATTAGGTAGTCCAAAATTTGATATTCCCATAAAAATAAAATAATCAAAAGTCTACTGTACCGTGTTTAAATAGAAAAATGGTTCATTCTTTCCATTTTCCTCCATTTTTTATTGTTTCTCACATACTCAATTGGGAATGTCGTTCTTATCCTAAGAAGATTGCACTATTATTATCATACTACATTACAGCGCATCACACTTATCATCCAGCGTAAACGATCTAATCACACTGGTGACTTGTGATCATATATTCACTCTTCTCACTCCTTTCTTCAAACACTGTAACATGGCTTCTTCCTTCTTATTACTCCGTCGAGATGCTGCTACCAGAATCAAGAGAAACCTCACGTGCTTCAACTGCCACGTGTGGACACGCGCCTTCTCTGAACAATCCAACAAACCGGAACGCATAAACAAAATTCTAATAGCAAACAGAGGCGAAATAGCTTGCAGGATCGCCAGAACCGCCAAGAGGCTCGGAATCAAAACCGTCGCCGTTTACAGCGACGCCGATAGAGACTCTCTCCACGTGGCGTCCTCTGATGAAGCCATACGAATTGGTCCCCCGCCTCCTCGTCTCAGTTACCTCAACTCTTCGTCCATTATCGATGCTGCCTTGCGTTCCGGTGTTCAGGTAGTGATTCCTAATTATCAACATTTTTCAGTTCGATTCACTTTCTTTATTAATTTGTAATGGTTGATTGAAGTTTAATTGTGTGTTGTTTTGGTGATTGATTGATTATGATTAGGCTATCCATCCAGGATATGGATTTCTATCGGAAAGTGCTGATTTTGCACAGCTATGTCATGATAAAGGTATTGCTTTCATTGGACCTCCAGCTTCTGCAATCCGAGATATGGGTGACAAGAGGTATCAAATTCGACCGCTTCTTCTATTTTGAGTTTGTTCTTTTGGCTTGGAAGTGAAAATACAATGTATCACTTAATCAGGGTTTTAAAAAACGGACCGTTTTTCTAAACCCTGCTCTATAGCAATGACACTTCAGAATGCGTGTCTTATTAGTGATGCACTTAATTAGTAGTTTGTTGTTAGTTAGTTACTCACTTGTCTATGTTTGGATTGATGGAATGTGACCGGAATGGAGTAGAATGGAATGGTATAGAATGAGGTTCCATTGTTTGGATCAATTAAAATCAGATAGAGCAGAGTGGAATGGAGTGGTATGGATTCCATTTCATCACTTACCATCATATTTCTTCCAATTTGGGCAGAATGGAAAATTTGTCTTGCTCTATTCTAAAATACCCAAACGATTTCGTTCCTTTCCATTCCACTCCGTTCATATAGATCTTTATATAAGTGATGAAACTTTGGTTTAAACACACTTTCTCACTGTCAATACAGTTTCAATTTGTAGTTTTTTCATATTTTATATTGACCATGGCCTCTATCAAATGTTGTAATATGTCGGGTGTCCTACACATGTTGGTGGTCGATATCGATATATGTGGTTACATTTAATCACTTTTATTTTTTAAATTATTACTAGGGTTTATGTCTGTGTCATGTATGATGTCTGTATGAAGCATGATTAGCTGATCTTTCTTGTTTGGAATGAACTAATCAGTGCATCGAAGAGAATAATGGGGGCTGCAGGGGTGCCACTCGTGCCTGGATATCATGGAGATGAACAAGATATTGATAAAATGAAGTTGGAGGCTGATCAGATTGGGTATCCCGTTCTCATAAAGCCAACCCATGGAGGAGGAGGAAAGGTGGTTCCTAGTGCTACCTTCATGTACTTATTCCCCTTCAAGTTACTCTCTTTCACCATCCTTTGATTTAGGGATGTGCTACTTTTCTTTCCATTATACTCAATTTACTGATTTACTCTCTGAGCTGGATGATCATAGTATTGAATGAATATGTTTGGCCATTTTGAAAAGTACTTGCCTGGTGCTATTTGTCCAATTCATTGTAGGTTTTCACATTGTTCTTTGGTTCTCGTCTTGGATCGCTTAATTCATGGTGTAGTTATGATTCTTTGAACCTTATCCATCCGGTCTTCATGTATTGGTGATAGCATGATGATTATGGTTATTGTAATGTGTGATTACACTTTTAGGTTTCTACACGTGTAAGAGTAGAAAGTCTATTCTAAGAATCACACATTTCTTTTATTGTGATAACAGATGAGAAAGAGATCAATAAAGACAACAGTTGTTGCTCACGAGGTTAAAATTCCATCATATTGAAATTTATTCAATGTGAATATTGCAGGGTATGAGGATTGTGCACACTCCAGATGAATTTGTGGAATCATTCCTTGCAGCACAACGTGAAGCAGCTGCTTCTTTCGGCGTCAATACAATTTTGCTGGAGAAGTATATTACACAGCCGAGGCACATAGAAGTCCAAGTAATTATATTGATTTAACCACTCATTCTCCTACCACATTTCTCCTAGAAGCTTCATTGGCTGCTTACTTTTTTCTGACAATTTTAAAGTGCCTCGTAGTGAACATTCTTTAGTTCTGAGACTTTTTTTTCAGTTCTTCAGAACTTAACGGGCACATGGGAATTCAAATAGTGAATATTGTAGGTATTTGGGGACTTGAACTTGATCTTATATGTTATAACAGATTCTTTTCTATTTGACATGTAGATATTTGGGGATAAGCATGGGAATGTTTTGCATTTGAATGAGAGAGATTGCAGTGTACAGAGAAGACACCAAAAAATAATTGAAGAAGCTCCAGCTGTAAGACTTACATTCCACAAACTATTTTTTTAAAAGTTTAGCTGGAGTTGTGAACTTATAATTACACATTTGCAGCCAAACATTTCTGCTGAGTTTCGTGCACACTTGGGTCAAGCTGCTGTTTCTGCAGCAAAGGTAAGATTCTTTAGTTTCAAAATGATAATCTGTATTTTCTCAGCCACTTGCAATTGCTTCATTAATCTTTGAAGGATCTGAAGTCTTTGGTTCGTTGACTTCTACCAAAAATAACTTTTAGATAAGTTGCATTCATGACTGGATTAGTTTCTTTTCTATGCTTTCAATGCTTAAGATGAGAACATCACAGAATGTTAAAATTCCATGTTGAGTTTTAGCAATAAGGTTTATTTATTTATATAATACATGCCTAGTATTTATAAAATGGCTCTGAATTAATTAATTTATATAGTTAATTGGTTAACAGTTTATAAACAGTTTAATGGTATCTTTTAGGATCTGTATTGAAGAAGTCAGCAAAGTTAGAATCCTAGTAGTCTAGAGGGTATTGAGAAAGAAGAAAATTGTGATGAGAGAAGGTTAGTGTGGCGTGAGGGGGAAGAGGGAGAACCTCCTTATTTGGACTGTCTGATAGAGGACTGTCTTCCTTTGAAGAGTCTTAGCTCTGCACTTGTAGTCATTACTTTTGAAATGGTTTCATTCAGTCATTTGAGTGCTATTTTTCAGGTTTCTGTTTCCGTTTTGTTTTGGCATATTAACAGTATCTTTGGAGGTTTTATTTTTATGCTTTATTTTTCTGCTTGTTGAGCATCAGATATTGTTATGTGCGCTTCTTTCTGCTAAACCTATGCACGTGTCTTTCCTGATTTACTTTTAAATTGTAATTACTGATATGTAATGTTTATTAAAATATTTTTGAGAAATTAGGAGCACTTTCCCTTTATCCTTTTCCTTTTATTTATCTTATAACTTAATGTGGTTTGAATATCTTCATTCCGTTCAATAGCATTTACTGATTTCTTGTTTCTTTCTGATGGCTGAAGGCAGTTAACTATTACAATGCTGGGACAGTGGAGTTTATAGTTGATACAGATTCTGGCCAGTTTTACTTTATGGAGATGAATACCCGTCTTCAGGTGCTTGGATTGATATTTACTGTCATTTTGTCCTAGAATTGTGGCTTACCGAAGTATAACATTGGGCATGTTAGTACAGGTTGAGCATCCTGTCACAGAGATGATTGTTGGTCAAGATCTAGTTGAATGGCAAATCCATGTTGCCAATGGAGACCCTCTTCCATTGAGTCAATCACAGATACCAATATTAGGTGATTCGGTTTTTCCCGTCTCTTCTCTTTTAGTGGTGGGTAGGGGTTAATATCTTTGCCCCCTCCTGTTTAATAAATGTGTTGGTGAGGGACTTTTTAGGTTGACTTTGCTTAATTTAATACTAAATTTAATGAACTCAAATTGGCAATTCTACAGATCTTTGGTTGACTTAAGTATGCTCTTCTAGTTTTGGTTAGTTTCTCTGAAGATGCAAAAGAGAAAACATCAGTTTAAGAACAAAGTTTTCTGTGTGAGTGGGGTGATTGGAAATCGAGTATTAGTATTTACTCCTAAATTTTGACAAATACTATGCGTGGAGAAAAACAGTTCTTACTACTATTTAGTACTATTTATGACTAATTGCTGGAGAAAGCCATCTTAGTGACATCATCCTCTGAAACTTACTTAAGAATGACAAAAAAAACTGGTTTTCTGAAAATGAGATCATTTAGAAGGTTGTATAAGTCATTTTTTAATGAATTTGAGCTTGTTAATTATTTATTATACTATTGTGAGAATGTGTGTGAAATTTGGTCTGTTATGCCTAGACTTTGAAGTTGATTTATATTATACTTCTCTGATTGTGAAATTAGGCCATGCTTTTGAAGCTCGGATCTATGCTGAAAATGTTCCAAAAGGGTTTCTTCCAGCAACTGGAGTACTGCACCATTATCACATTCCGGACTCATCAGGGGGTCAGTTGTGCAAAGTTAGCCTAGTAATTAATTTATGAAAATTTATCTTATTTCTACTGTTGGAAGAACAAGAAACTCCAAGATACTTTTTTTTTACTAACTGAAAATTTACTATCTTGACAGTTCGGGTGGACACTGGGGTTAGAGAAGGAGATGCTGTTAGCATGCATTATGATCCAATGATTGCTAAGCTTGTGGTGCAGGGAGAAAATCGTGCTGCAGCATTGGTCAAACTGAAGGATAGTTTGTCAAACTTTCAGGTTAGTATACTTAATTTTTGTGTTGATTTTGATCTAGGAAATGTGATACGATTGTGATCATGATTGAGGTTTAATTAGTAAATTAACTGTTTTTTCATATTGAGATGTTATAGAATTTGTCCTTTGTTGGACAAGATGGGGTGGAATAGTGTTAGATATGTAAGAAAGTCAGACATTTTCTACTACTTCCTGTAGAAGAATGAAATTTAAGTAATCATAAATCAGTTATAATTTCTAGCTGCATTCTATCTTGTAGAAGTCATGCTCCATGTGTAAGTTTCTAACATCTTGCACAGGTTGCAGGTCTACCAACCAATGTCAACTTTCTTCTAAAGCTCGCTAATCACTGGGCATTTGAAAATGGCAATGTGGAGACTCATTTTATTGATAATTACAAAGAAGATCTCTTTGCTGATGCTCAAAATTCAGAGTCTGCCAAAGAAGCATATGAGGCTGCTAGACGCAGTGCATCCCTTGTGGTTGCATGTCTCATTGAGAAAGAGCATTTCATATCGGCCAAAAGAAACCCTGGTATTGTCCCATTCTTGCTGTGTAATGTTCTGAGTTGTTTTTGTGTTTTTTAGGTAAATTACATCTGCCAGTATGTTCAGGTGGCAGCAACTTACTCCCTATATGGTATGCTTCACCACCTTTTAGAGTTCATCATCAAGCTAAGCGTACAATAGAACTTGAGTGGGATAATGAGTATGATAGTGGTAGCTCAAAGATCCTGAAGCTTACTGTCACTTACCAACCTGATGGAAGATACCTGATTGAGGTATCACCTAAGATATGAATCAGTAATTTTTTCCACGCTTTATTATGCCAAAATTCTCTTAAAAGTTGAGCCAAGATGTTATTGTTTACTTCCAGACAGAAGAAAATGGAAGCCCTGTTTTAGAAGTCAAGACAACATATGTAAAAGATCACCATTTTAGAGTTGAAGCTGATGGTGTAATCAACGATATTAACCTTGCTGCATACTTGAAGGTATTTTCCTTCCTCTGCATGGATGCTTTTTGAGTGTGTGTAGATTGATTTGGTAAAAAATATTGATGCTATATTCTCTTGGTTGTGAAATATAAAAGTCTTAATATATTAACTTGATTTCCTTCCCTTGGGATTCAGGACCAAATGAGGCATATTCATATTTGGCAAGGGTCCTTTCATCATTATTTCAGAGAGAAAATAGGTCTCAAGTTGTCTGAGGATGATGAATCCCAACATAAACCCCAATCTGAATCATCAGCCATTCCTCAAGGGGCTGTTGTGGCACCCATGGCAGGCTTGGTTGTTAAGGTTCTAGTAAAGAATGAGACAAGAGTAGAGGTGGGCCAACCCGTATTAGTATTAGAAGCGATGAAGATGGAGGTTTGTATTGTTTCTTAAAATGTCAGAAACTTCTCTCTCTGATGTCTTTGTTTATCTATTTAGTAAGTTATAACCAAAAATATTTTGCATTTCTCTAGCATGTTGTAAAGGCACCAACTTCTGGTTTTGTCCACGGGCTTCAAGTTACTGTGGGGGGACAGGTTTCTGATGGTAGTGTTCTCTTCAATGTAAAGGTTAGTCAATTATATTCGCTGTTTCTTCACATTGGCTATGGCCTGAGTATACTAGAAATATTATTGGCACTTTTATTTCGCTTCATTAGATCATTGCATGGTGGTAGTCTATCAATAAATATATTCCCTTTATTCATATTTGATGGTTATTTCATTTTGTAGAGATATGATTTTTAATACTTAAAGTCTTGTTTAAATAGGTAACAAATTAGGTTAATCAAGTGCTCATAAAAAATGACAATTTACCTAGACTGTGCTCAAATACATTTTCCCCCTCATTCTCATTACGCCTAATTATTCTTTTATTCTTTTGTGTTACTAAATCTGTTAATATGTTTCTCAATTTGACAGTATATACGACTCAAGTTATATTTGAATTTTTCCAATAATTATATCTAGAAAATTATAGAGAAGGTACCAACCTTATATCAGTTTAACTTTTGGTTTTAGCTATCATGAACTGAAATACATTGTTTACCTTGTCCGAGAAACATGTTGGTCATCTTCTCTTTAACATAAAAAATTTTGTGGTCATGTCTGATATGTGTTATAATTATAATTTCAAGTTCTAATGGGATAATTCAAAGTTTTGTTGTATCTCGTGTCTTCTTTGTCAGTGGCAAGGGACAGTAATCAGTAGTGTAAATGTTTAGTTCACATCTTGAGTTGTGTTTGGGCAGGATCAATAAAATTATACAGGAGTACAGCTCTAGCCCAGAGTTTGGCAACAGGGACTTGATTCTGGATGGAAGGTTAACAGTGAAGCAATAGTGCGAGCTTCTACCGAGACTAATGAACAACACCTGCAAATTGATTGCTCTTTGAAAAATCCTTGTAGCTCAATTCCTTAAGTTACAATGGATGAAATAAAATAATGCAAGTAGTTGCTCTAGTTATTAATAACAAACTAAAATTCTTCATTTTAATCTATTCTTCCATCAGGAGTCTTTGCCTACTTTTTCATTAAAGATCTATTTTCTTCTCCATCTTCTTCTAGGATGAATTTCCTTTTACGACGAGATTTAGCACTTCAAATTATGCACTAATGCACTATGCCAACTGCAAATCTAAGTTGCTGGATTGATTTCTGTCTAAAAAAAATGGATTTGGATTCTCTGCAGTCAAAATGACTGCATAGTAATCTAGGCCATTAATGTTTTTCCGACTGATGTATTCTGAACCATTAGATTTTGCATGAACGGTCTAGATTTGTTTGAATGCGTGACTGCGAGATTTGCTTGAATGACTATGTTAAAATTTTAATGCAGTGAATTCAGGTCCGTACTTGTGTGGCATACAATTTTTCTTTTTTATGTTGGCACTCATCAAGACTGCATCATTTCAAAGAGATCTAAAGATGCAACTACCTTTTAGTTGAACAATAAAGAGATTGTTTGTACTGAAAATAGGAAATCCAACAGTAATGTGATAATTGATAAATTCTCTGTTGGGTTAGTTTCAATCATTTTGATCGACATGCTTTTATTCAATAATTCTGATGGATGCTTTATTTGAGTAAAGAAATTGTAAATAAAGTTAATCAGTGACAGGAACACCTTCAGATGTGTCCACATTTACTGCCCTAGTCACATGCATGTACATTACTGAACCATTCAAATGTGAAACGGGAAAATAACAGCTAAAGATTTATATGATACCGTATTAATAAATAAAAACACTACACCATTCAAGTATCAAAGACTAAGGGTCCCATTGAATGAGATTTAGTTTTTAAAATTTAAAATTCATAAAATTTATTCGATAGTCTATTTTTTATTTGAGATTTTTAAAAATTAAAAGATTAAAATAGATTTTAAAAGTTTTTTATTTTAGTTTAGTTTTGAAAATTATGAAGAAGAAAATAATTGAAGACGAAAAAAACAAGGATAAATAGTTACTTTTTAGGCATAATTAGTCACTGGGTCCTTTAAATATGAACGAAGTTTCGCTTTGGTCTCCGAACTAAAATACGTTACATAATGATCCTTTAACTTAAGTTCCGTTAAAATATTTGGTCTCTTCCGTTAGTTTATGTCTAAAAAACGTTAGTTTGTGTGAGCGGGCATGGCAAGTAAGCAAATTTAAAATTTCACATCAGCACATTGCACATGATATGTTACATAGGGTTTCATTTTATTGCAGTTTCATTCTTCTTCCATCAAGTGTGCTTGAGTCGTCTTCCATATTTTCAACTTCTTCCATCTTCTTCTTTAAATCAGGGTTAAATCTCTTTCTTCCTTCTACCATCTTCTATTTTCGTCTCCAAATTAAGGAATTAGGATTCAATGTCAAAGAATGCAAGTATTGCCTCAACTTCAAACAACCAAAGCTATGGTACGTCTGGATCTGTGATTCGTAGAAACAAGAGAATCAAGTGTTTTTGCTAAGATGAAAGTGTTCTTAGAACAGTGAATGATGTGAATAGTGTCAACAAGGGGAGGAAATTCTTAGGTTGTAAAAATTACAGAAATCACATTGAAAATGATGGTAATTTCTTCAAGTGGTTGGGTGATGAGTTTGTTGATGAAATGGATTTGAAGCTTGAAAGACAAAAGAAGAAGATTAACAAATCGAAGAATGAAGTTATGTGCACTATATTAGAAAATATGATTTGTGTGTTTGTACACTATATTAGAAAATATGATTTGTGTGTTTGTACACTATATTAGACAAACACACGAATCTAGAATATTTCCTCTGTTCATCATTTATTCACCTTTGCACCAACAATTGGTATCTAGAGCTCCGGTTCGGATTCATTTGGAAACACGGGAAACACGAGTGAACGTGAGGCCTTGTGTGTTTGATTTTGTTTCTCAGATTCGTGTTGAATCTTAAACAAAATCTGATCAGAATTTTAATTTTGTGGGTTGGGAAACACTGTGTGAGAAATCTGAGTGTACTGTGCAAGGTAGAAGATGAACGGAAACGACAACATGAACACCAAATTTCCAGTATTTGACTGTAAAAACTGGAACCGTTGGATGATCCAAATGCGTGTACTGTTCGGTGCTCAAGATGTTCTAGATCTTGTCACTGATGGTTATGTTCCGGTAGCAGCAAATATGACGGATGAACAGAAAAACGCGCAGAAGGAAGTAAGGAAGAAGGATCAGAAAACATTGTTCTTCATTCATCAACGTGTGGATGTAAATGTGTTTGAGAAGATTGCAGATTCAACGACAGCAAAGGCTGTGTGGGACACACTAGTGAGATGTTATGGTGGTGACGCATCAGTGAAGAAGGTGAAGCTTCAGTCCTTGAGAAAGCAATATGAGAATCTCAACATGAAGAATAATGAGAAAGTCTCTGAATACATCTCCAGAATGGTTCTGATCACTAATGAGATGAAGGCGTGTGGAGAAACTCTTTTTGAAGAAGCAATCATGGAGAAAGTATTAAGATCCTTTACCTCTCAATTTGATTACATTGTGGTAGCAATAGAACATTCCAAAGATCTGAGCACCATGAGAATTGAAGAGCTGCAGAGCAGTCTAGAAGCGCAAGAGTTGCGTTTGACTGAGAGAACTTCTGAAAAGGAAGTAGAGCAGGAGGCTCTGAAAGTAACTTCTGATAGAAGGTATCAGAAGTAGTTAGAAGCCAGGAGAAGATCTGATGGTGGTCAGAAGTCAGAAAGCTCAACCTCTGATAGACAAAAGAATGCTCAGAAGGGAAAAGAGAAGTATGACAAGAAGAAAATCCAATGTTACTGTTGTAAGAAGTTTGGTCACTTTGCTAGAGATTGTTGGTCAAACAAGGAGAGAAAATCATAAGAAGCAAATATAGTCAGAAGTTCTGATGACGAATCTGTGCTATTGATGGCCTCTGAATTTGATGATATGGATATGATAGACTGGTGGTATATGGACACTGGCTGTTCAAATCATCTTACTGGAAATAAGAAATGGCTGGTTGACTTTGACACTGAAAAGAGAACAAAGATCAGATGTGTTGATGACAAATATCTTAACGCAGAAGGTATGGGAAATGTCAGAGTGATTCTGAACAATGGGAAAACAACATTGATTCAGAACGTGTGGTATGTACCTGGCATCAGAAGCAATATGATGAGTGTGGGTCAATTAATTGAGAAAGGTTTTTCAGTTACCATGAAGGACAATCTTCTGAAGCTGTATGACTGCAATCAGAAGTTGATTATGGAGTCAGAACAGGGAAGGAATAGAACATTCAAGGTGAATGTCAGAACTGCAGACTCAGAATGTCTTAGTGCAACAAGTGCTGAGAAGGAGAGTGAGCTGTGGCACAGAAGATTTGGTCATTTGAATTTCAGAAGCTTAAAACATATGAATTCAAAGAAGTTGGTACATGAAATTCCTGCAATTAAGAAGCCTGAAAATTCATGCAAAGTTTGCATGGAAGAAAAACAACCACGATTGCCATTTGCGTCAGAAGCTGCTCTAAGAGAAAAACATGCCTTGGGAGTTGTACATTCTGATGTGTGTGGTCCATTTCCAGTAGCATCGATTGGAGGGAATAAATACTTTGTATTGTTTGTTGATGAATTCACAAGAATGACATGGGTATCCCTTATTAAGTTTAAACACGAGGTATTTGAAGAATTCAAGAAGTTTAGAATGAAGGCTGAGAATCAGAGTGGTCAGAAGTTGAAGATTCTTAGAACTGACGGTGGAGGTGAGTATAACTCCAAAGAGTTCCAGAAGTTCTGTGAGGAGAATGGAATTGAGCATGAGGTTACTGCTCCCTATACCCCTCAACACAATGGTCTTGCTGAAAGAAGAAACTGCACTTTGCTTGATATGGTGAGAAGCATGCTAAAGGAGAAGAAGCTTCCTCAGGCGCTCTAGGGAGAAGTTGTTGCCACTGCAACGTATGTACTCAACCGATGTCCTACGAAGAAGTTGAGGGAAATAGTTCCAATATAGAAGTGGTCTGGAGATAAGCAAAGTGTTAGTAATCTAAAGGTGTTTGGTTCTGTTTGCTATAAACATGTTCCAGAAGCCAGAAGATAGAAGCTGGATGATAGAAGCAAAATGATGATTCTGATAGGGTACCACAGTACAGGTGCATACAAGCTCTATTGTCCAGAAACCAATAAAATTGAATTCAGCAGAGATGTGATTGTAAAGGAATCAGAAGTTTGGAATTGGGATAAGTCTCAATCTGATTCTGATGTTAGAACTTCTGAAGAAAGGTCAGAGTTAAGAATTTTTGAAGTTGGAGTAAACTCTGATGTTGACTCTGACTCTGATAGTGATTCAGACTCTGGAGAAGACTCAGAAGATGAAGGTGACTCTGATGATCCAGACTATAATGATAATCCAGATTCTGGTGGCAATTCAGACTCTGGAAATATGCCAGACTCTGAAGATGGTCAAAGCTCTGGAGGAAGTCAATCATCTGAAGCTAGAAACTCTGAAGCTCAAGACTCTGAACAAGTTCAGAGACCACAAAGAATAAGAAACGTCCCCAGAAGATATGCAGAATTTGACATGCTGCAAGACACTGAAGTAGACTCTGAAGGAGAAGTTATTCAGTGTGCCATGATAGTATACTCTGAACCTATAAGTACAGAAGAGACTCTTAAGCAGAAGCTCTGGCTGAAGGCCATGAAAGAAGAACTTGATGCTATAGAGAGAAACAAGACTTGGAAGCTGACAGAACTTCCAAAAGACAAGAAAGCCATCAACGTCAGATGGGTTTTCAAGCAGAAGTTAAAGCCAGATGGTTCAATTGGCAAATATAAAGCAATGTTGGTAGCCAGAGGATTTCTACAGAAACCTGGGCTGGATTATTCTGAAGTGTTTGCACCTGTAGCAAGATATGAAAAAATCAGAATGGTGATTGCAATAGCTGCTAACAGGAATTGGCCTCTGATGCATTTAGATGTAAAATCTGCATTTCTGAACGATCCATTAGAAGAAGAAGTTTACATGTCACAACCTCTTGGATTTGTGAAAAAGAATCAGGAAGGGATGGTGTACAAATTATACAAAGCTCTATATGGACTGAAACAAGCGCCCAGAGCTTGGAATTAGAAGATTGATTCATTTTTCAAGAAGCAAGGCTTTCAGAAATGTGAGATAGAGTATGGTGTTTATGTTCAGCATACTTCTGAAGGCAATATGACTCTGGTGTGTTTATATGTTGATGACATACTACTGACTGGAAGTTCTGAACATGAGATAGCCAAGTTCAAGAAAGTTCTGATGAATGAATTCGAAATGACTAATCTAGGCAAAATGACATACTTTCTAGGGATGGAGTTCAGATATTTTGAGAAAGGTATCATTTTGCATCAGCTCAAGTATGAATTAGAACTTCTGAAGAGATTTGAACTGAAGAATTTTAAGATTGATGTCACACCTTCTGATACAAATCAGAAACTGGATTCTAACTCTGATGGAAAGGATGTGGACGCTACAACCTTTAAACAATTGGTTGGTTCTCTGAGGTATTTGTGCAATACCAGACCTGATATTTGCTATTCTGTTGGGATGGTTTGTAGGTTCATGAGTAAACCTAAGTGGTCCCATTACCAAGCTGCTGTCAGGATTCTGAGGTATGTCAAGGGAACTCTGAAGTATGAAGTGTTATTTCCTTCTGGAAGAAAGAATGAGTAAAAACTTCTGAGTTATTCAGATTCTGATTGGTGTGGAGACAGAGTTGACAGAAGAAGTACCTCTGGGTACTAGTTCAAATTTCTGGGAGGTCCCATTTCTTGGTGTTCCAAGAAGCAACCTGTTGTGGCGTTATCAACCTGTGAAGTTGAATACATTGCAGGTGCTGTTACTGCATGCCAAGCTGTGTGGATTCTGAATCTGTTGCAGAATCTGAAGATTACAATAAACAAACCACTGAAGCTGATGATTGACAACAAGTATGCAATCAATCTTGCCAGAAACCCAGTGTTGCATGGGAGAAGCAAGCATATTAAGACCAAGTATCATTTTCTAAGACATCAAGTTCAAAGTGGAGTACTAGAAGTTGTACACTGCAGCACTCAGAAACAGTTGGCAGATGCTCTGACGAAAGCTATCAAGACTGATCAATTTCTCAGACTAAGGGATGGAATTGGTGTTATAAGTTGTGATGGAATATGAATTAAGGGATGGTATTAGAATTAATTCATATTTATTAGTTGTACTATTTTCTTAGCCCCTAAGTTTGTTAGAGGGTATTTTAGTATTTTATTTTATTCTAGTAACCCTAGTGTTAGCTTATAAATAGGGTAGCAATCATTGCAATTGTGTGGTTATGTGTGTAGTCGTCATTCTCTTAATAGAATATTTCCTCTGTTCATCATTTATTCACCTTTGCACCAACACACTAGAGGATGGCTCAAAATGTCCATTGTGGTTGGGATTGTAAGCTTAGGATTGAACCTTTGTGTTTGTAACAATGTATTTCAATTAGTTTTAGGCTAGTTCGAAGTTATGTTTGTTTCAATGTTTTGTTAAGTTTGTTTAATGAATAATGTATTGTTGTGTTGGTTCAATGAATAATGTTTGTGTTATGTATTACAATGTTTTGTTAAGTTTGTTTAATGAATAATCTCTTTATTAATTTATGGACACAAATTGTAATATAATTTGGCATTATAAGCCATTCCAACTTTCATTAACAGATTCAAAGTTTGATACATAACAGGTTAAATAACAAAAGACCATTATAAGGCATTACATAACAGGTTCAATCATAAAAGGTCATTATAAGACATTACATAACAGGTTCAATTACAAAAGGCCATTATAGGACAAAATGTGCCTTACATAATGACATTTCAAAATGTGCATTAACAAAAACAAAAGAGTCAGGCCATTAAATGGCATTACAAAATCTTAGCAGACATAATAATAATGATCAATGTTGGCTTGAAACAGGCTTGCCACCTTATTAAGTTGGTGGTGGTTGACTTGTAACAACAGTTGGTGGTGGTTGACTTGTAATAACAGGTGGTGGTGGCCGACTTGTTGCATCTTGTATCTGACTTGAATCAACTTGTGATTGTGGTTGACTTGTTACTTCTTGTACTTGACTTGAAGAAGCTTGTGGTTGTGGTAGTTTACAAGTGGCCTTGTTGTGACCATCCTTGTGGCAACGACTACACTTGATATCATATCTTGCCCTCTTCATGTGTGTCTCATCCCTCGCCATCTTTCCAGCTTCTATATTTCTTTTTTTTCTTTGGCCTTCCAGGCTGCCTCTTTATTGGTGGTGGCTAAAGATCAACAACATTAATTTTTGCCCACAAGGCTTCCCCATTAAGTGGATATATAACATGTGCATAGAAAACAACATATTGTTCCTTCTTGTAACATTCAGGTACAAATTCATCAATCTCTAAATGTTGATCCTTCATGCAAGACATTGCTTGACAGCAAGGAAGTCTAGTCAGCATCCATAGTCTACATGAGCATTCTTTCTTGTAAAAGTTGACAACATATTTTTCTCCATTGAGTGAAGTATGCCTCACCTCATTGTCATATTCACCTGTGCGCCTGTAAACAAGTAACCATTTTAATGTTAGTCTATGTAAACAATTAGCCATTTGAAAGTAATATTCAACAAATCAACCATGTTACCTCACAATCCAATGATTGGTTTTCTGTGACTCCCTTTCCATCCTCTTTTTGATGTTAGGTAGTATGATTCCATCGTATTTGGTAATCTTTTTCCTATTGGATTCTCATTTCTGCATTAGATATACTCTAATTTCTTCCAGCATTGTCACAATGGGCTTGGATCTAGCAGTTACAAATACAAAGTTGAAGGCTTTTGACATATTGTTAACCAAAGTGTCACAACCTGAATTTGGTTGGAACCTTGATTTACTCCAGAATCTTGGTGGAATTTTGATGAGATGTTTGAAGGTCTCTTCATTAATTGCTTTGGTTTCAAGCATTATTTTCTCCCAAGCATTAACATAACTTGCACATGCAGCCCACCACATCAATTTCTTTAATTTTAGGCTAGAGAACTTTTTCCTGAAGTTGCTATACAAATGTCTCCAATATAAAGTAAGTGTAAACTAACTATGTCATGTAATTAATTCAGAAAAACTAAGTATGTCATATTCAACATGTAAGTAAACATAATATCTAACACAAAATCTCTGGTCAACATTACCAAATAATTCATCAAGAGCTGGCAGTAAACCCTGCATCCATAAATAAGTAAGAATGATGGTGAAACTAAAACAATTGGCTAACAGTTAAATTTCAAGTTGAGAGTTTAATACCTTTTGTTGATCACTAATGAAGGTGTAGGTTCTGCACAACCTGACTCCTTCCAAATCAGGTATCAATAACTCTAGAAACCAGCTCCATGAGTCTTTAGTTTCACCCTTAACAACAGCATATGCAATTGGTAGCATTTGTTCATTTGGATCCCTCCCAATAGCAGCTAGTATTTGTCTTCCATAATATACCTTTAAGAAACAACTATCTAATCCTATAATAGGCATGCACTTAAAAAAAATTGTCATTGCAAGCTTTGAGACATACTTAATTCATCCTCTGAAAGTGAGGATTCAATTGACTAGAGTTTTCACTCCTTTCCCCTTGAACTGGTTGACTTGTAATCTTCATAGTTGATCTTGGGTTTGCCTTCAAGAGTTCATGGTCATAATAATGGATTCTTTTATACTGCTCTCTAAAAAAACCATCCACAATATTAACAGCTAGTGTCTTTGCTCTATATGCCTATGTCTTATTAATCCCAACATTCTACTTTTCATGTGTCTTCTCCATAATATCAGTCAACTTCAAAGCTGGATTCTCTCTAACACTTATTTGAATCTTCTTGCCCAACCATTTTGAATTGAGGAACCTAATCTTATAATCCCTACTACATGTATGTTTGTCCATAATTATCCTCGGTTTCCAAGTCTCCCCACCTTTAATATTTGCATAGTAAGCCTCCCATGGGCAACCTGCCTTACATTTTACCCTCATCCTTGCTTTATTATTTTTTGTAAATTTCAAGTTATTTCTTGAATGAATGACATATGTTCTTATTGTCCTCTTGAAAGACCCCTTCGTAGAAAAATATGTACCAAGTTCCCATTTGTAGTCTTCCATTCTTTTTGGAAGCTTAAAGGTTACAAAAGCATCCTTTACAACCTCATCATTCTCATTGTCATACTCAGTAGGAAATTTATCACTATCATACTCCTCAATGTCACTTAAACCTCTCAGATTACCTAGATTTACCTCACCATCATTATCAGCACCTACAGCCCTAACAATGACCCTTTCCTTCCCTTTCCCCTTCCCTTTCTCATTCCCCTTACCTTTCCCCTTGCCTTTTCCCTTCTCCTTACTTGTTGTATTCACTTCATCCTCATCAACCGCTATCTCTCCATCAATACCTATATTATTCTCCGAGTCTTCAAAATTAACATTCAAAGCATTGTCATTACTTTCATCTTCTGGCACATCTCCTTGGTTACAGATAACTACCTCATCTTGTTCTTGGTTACAGTTCAGTCCTTCATTGATTTCATCTACTCCAACATTCATCCATACACCCATATTCTCCTCAATTTAATAGGTGGTCCCCACATCATCAATATTGTTTTAGTTTGTCTCCTCTTGACCCACATTCTCCTCATTTTCACAATTGGTCCCCACATGACCCACATTTTCTTCAATCCCAACATTCTCTTCAATTCCAACATTCTTCTCAACTTCATCAATTGTTGTCCCCTCTTCCACCACATCTTCATCCAGTGTGGTCACACCTTCATTACTTCTCCTTTCATATACTTCACCAACCACATCTTTAGCCACTGTGGTCCCATCTAGATTATTAACCATATTAAGCCATTCACCACACATATCTTCACCCAATATGCTCACATTTGGTAGTGAGAGTATGGACTCCTCAATAACACCAGGTTCAGATACAGGATGTGTAACATACAAATGACATTTCCCAGTTAACATTGCAATTGTTTTCATTCTATCAGTCCCCTTATCATTTTCTAACTGAACTATATCATTAGCAATCAAGTTATCATAATACCAAAGCCTATCTATAGTAAGGTAACCTAACCCTCTTAACTTGTCCAATATTTTAAAGTAACTCCAATAATCATGATCAACATCTCATATCTCTTTTAACCCTACATAACCTGACTTGGTAAAATTTGCAAACTCCTTAGAAAATTCACCAGAATGATGAACAACACACTTAAACCTACTCTCAATGAGTTAATCAACATACATATAGTATCATAATTACTAAGTAAGTTAGGTATAGAAGAAAGTTAACATTTTTAGTTACGTATTTGTGCAAGTTCGTACCTTAGAGTTTTTTCTGCAGACAAATGAAAGAACGAAGTTCTTCTTCTTCGTTCTTCTTCAATGGAGGTTCAATGAAGAGTTGTTGTCGTAAACGTCGCTATCGTCGTCTTCAATAAACTTCGTCTTCAAACAAGTCTTGTTGTAAATAATGTAGTTGTTATCCTACTCTATGAACTTGAACTTTCATCCAACAATGTAAGTATGCCCTAATACGCTTCATCTTCTTAAAATGGATGTTAAGTGTAACATAAATTCCACCTCATCTATTAAAAAAATTCAGAATATCCACCTAAGCCATTTTAAGTCCAGCAATGCATATTCTAACGTTTTTCTAACCAAAACTAACAGAAAGGACTATATGTACCGGAGTATAAGTTAGTGGACCATAAAGTAACGTTTTTTTTTCTTAAGGGATCAAAGCGAAACAAGGGCTAAAGTTAAAGGACTAAAAGAGATATTAAACCTACTTTTTATTAATAGCGAATTTGTAATGTTATTCAATTTTAAAATAATTTTTAAAAGTCGGTAATCTAATAAACATGTTTAACAATTTAACTTTTAAAAGTCATTTTAAAGCTGATTAATATTACAAATTTATCATTAATGAAAATTGTATCACTTTTTTTTTTTTTACCTCTTCCTAATTTTCAAAATTAAAAAGTAAAACTAAAATCTCCAAAATCTATTTTAATTTTTTATTTTATTAAAACTCATAAATAGAGAATAATTTTCAAAATAATCTTGTAAAACTAGACTATCAAATAAATTTTATAATTTTTAAATTTTAAAAATCAAAAATAATTTTACAAAACCAAATCAAATAAATCCTAATCATTAGAAATGATACTACTCCCTCTGTTTCTTTTTAAGTGTTACTTTTTGATTTTTTTACCCATACTAAAAAAGACTAATAAATATTGCTATTTTTCCTACAATAATTTTTCTTTTGTTTATATCTCACTCTGTAATAATTATTTAAGAATAATTTTGACAAAATACATTTAATACCCCTTTAAACTTTTGCAAAATAAAGTAACAAAAAATTACTCAAAAAAACGAAGGAAAGGAGGAAATGTTCATTGAAGATTTAATTCAACACTACAACTTATGGGAAGTTTTACCCCATACCCCTACACTTATACCTATACCCCTACATTAAAAAATTTTGGACCAAAATATCCTCGTATAAAAATTTATTATTTTTTAATTTTTTTTATATTTTTTTATTTGTTTACCGGAAGACTTTTTTGGAAGTCTTCCGGTTCACATTTTTTTAGTATGTTTACCGGAAGACTTTTTGGAAGTCGTCCGGTACATATTTTTTTGGTTTACCGGAAGACTTTTTGGAAGTCTTCCTGTTCATGTTTTTTTTTAATTTGTAATTAATATTTAAGATTTATTAATTTTATATAAAGACCAATTTAGTAAATTTTTGAATATTATACTTAAAATATAAAAATTCTATAAATAGAGAATCATTTTCAGAATATTTTCTATTTACTATAATTATTAGAATACTAGGATTAAAATTATTTATTTTAAATGATCATAATAGTAGAATTTTCTCAAATATCTTATTAATCTTAAACATTAATAAATATAATAAATTTAAATATAAGATATAAGTTAAATTATTCAATATATTTAATCAAATGAAAACATATGTGATAAATAAATAATGTATTTTAACTTAAAATGATCACAATAAGTTAACTTGCAAAATAATATAAGTAATAAATTAATAATGTATTTTATTTAAAATAATCACAATAATAAAATACGCAAATAATGTGTTTTATTTATAGGACTGATATAGTTTTATTGATTATTTAATTTTAAATACTACTATGAATATAGTATTTAATCTATACTTTAGAACTCACATAATTATAAATATAAAAAATATTGTTTTATTACCCATATTTTTATTTAATTAAAAAAATAAGAATATAAATTTATTATTTGTTTTTCATTTTTGTTTGATCTTTTTAATTATTTCACTTTATTTAATATTTTTAATAAAATAAATAATATATTTTATTTAAAGTAAGCACAGTATAGAATATGCAAAAAATTTATAAATAAAAAAAAGATCAAACGAAAATGAAAAACAAATAATAAATTTATATTCTTATTTTTTTAATTAAATAAAAATATGGGTAATAAAATAATATTTTTTATATTTATAATTATGTGAGTTTTAAAGTATAGATTAAATACTATATTCATAGTAGTATTTAAAATTAAATAATCAATAAAACTATATCAGTCCTATAAATAAAACACATTATTTGCGTATTCTATTATTGTGATTATTTTAAATAAAATACATTATTAATTTATTACTTATATTATTTTGCAAGTTAACTTATTGTGATCATTTTAAGTTAAAATACATTATTTATTTATCACATATGTTTTCATTTGATTAAATATATTGAATAATGTAAACTTATATCCTATATTTAAATTTATTTTATTTATTAATGTTTAAGATTAATAAGATATTTGAGAAAATTTTACTATTATGATCATTTAAAATAAATGATTTTAATCTCATTGTATTCTAATAATTATAGCAAATAGAAAATATTCTGAAAATAATTCTCTATTTATAGAATTTTTATATTTTAAGTATAATATTCAAAAATTCACTAAATTTATAAAATTAATAAATCTTAAATATTAATTACAAATTAAAAAAAAATATGAACCGGAAGACTTCCAAAAAGGAAGTCTTCCGGTAAACAAACGAAAAAATATGAACAGGAAGACTTCCAAAAAGTCTTCCGGTAAACATACGAAAAAAATGTGAACCGGAAGACTTCCAAAAAGTCTTCCGGTAAACAAATAAAAAAATATAAAAAAATTAAAAAATAATAAATTTTTATACGAGGATATTTTAGTCCAAAAATTTTTAATGTAGGGGTATAGGTACAAGTGTAGGGGTACGAGGTAAAACTTCCCAACTTATGAATGATTCCACCTTTAGAGCAGCTAAAATTAATTTGGCTTTCAAAATTGACTCTATTTTAAAACTAGGATTTATAGTTTTTAAGTACAAACACCATTTTCCGCTAAAATTTATTATTCAACTTTATTTTATGTACATGGATCCAAACAAATAGTAACTCTTTATTCAATTTATGTTTTAAGAAATCAATTTTTACAAAATCATTTTATCGCAACACTACTTTTAAATATTACCCCATGTCTTTTACTCTATTTAAAACTTCCAAATATCATGATCTAATAAAATAATCACAAAACTCATTAGATAAAATCATTTTATACATTCCATAACATTTAACTCACACACTAAATAAGATACCAATTTTAACTCAATAAAAAACAATTTATCCCTATTTATATATCTTTTATACAATCCCTTGTATATTTTGATTCCTTATATTTCTAAGTAAAATTTAACACTTAAAAAATAATTAGGTGGAATGGCCTGAATCACATCTCAAACCGAAGGAATCAAAAGTGAGGGTGCCTTTTCTGAAAGAATGAGAAGAGTAAACTATAGTCATGAGATCATCAAGCTGTGAACGACCAAAATCATTCAATTTTGGCTATCCATAAAAGATTCCAGCCTCAATCATTTATCATCTTAAATGGTTTCGAATTAACATGAGATTATAGTAGAGACATCACCTAAACCAAAACATTTTAGTACAAAATGGTCATGGACAGTATCTAGTAACCTTTATACAAGATGCAGTAGAATCTAGCCTAAGCATATCAAGCATCAAAACCTGAATAGACTCCATTCTCCCTCAACTGCCTTTTTTCTTCTTCAACATAATTTTTCCCTCTGCTAGCTTGACCAAGTTCCCTTTTCCTCTTTTCCTTCTGAGAAAAGGAAAGATTCTTCTTTTCATTCCTAGTCAGAACAGTTGGCAGCTGCTCTCCTATGGAAAGAGCCTCTCTTGTTTTCTTCCGTTCTTCATATGTTTCTTCAACCTCCTTCTCGACACGCTTTTCTTTTCCACTGGACCAAGACCAATCTTGCTTTGTGTCACCTTCTTTGGGTGGAGGTACCTTTAAGACCGAAGGCCCACCTTTATACCCGTATCGCTTGAGAGCTTCAAAGTCAATCGGAGCATTCTTCTTCGTAGATTTACCTACAGACATGAAGTTCATAAAACTAGTGAATATGCACCATAAGGAAATGACATTAGTGAGCATTTTCAAGGTGTAAACGTTTACAAGCAATAAAGCATGAAGCTATCATAATATTGATTTCAGAAAACAAATTAAGTTGCTCAATATAAACAAACAATGACAGAATAAAGAAACCCAGATATTCAAATTTATGTTTTCCGAGAAATATCTACTTTAGTTGCTAAATAAACTGTTGAAAGAATTTCTGTGAAGATATAAAGAACTATAATAAGCATAACTGATGGTATATTCGAATTAGTCAATCCTACGTATTCTTACTCAAGATATTATCTGTCTACCACAACTACAATGCAGGGTAAGGATACCATATTACAATACACTAACTGAAGCTCTAGATAGCCATAAATCCCCAAATCTAAATCTAAAACAGCAATCACTGGATACCAATAACAAAGAATCTCTTCCCCGATAGGGGCCCCATCACACTGCATCATTACATTGTGCAATTTCTCCTGTTATCCATCAATAACTATTTTGCTTTAGCCAGAACTTCTATTCTATCATATCAAAAATGCCAGTCACAAAATGATCTTAAGGTAACTGCAACATAATTAGACTGGTTCATCATTGTCATTTTATCAAGTTATGAATTTATCTACCCTTTATCAATAACATGATCAGAAATATCCAAATCAACAAGTGAAGGAACTAGCAACGCCAAGGATTCATAACTTGGATGTGTATCAATCCACATTCTAGTGTTGAGATATTTATTAAATAGACCCACAACACAAACACTAAGTGTGGGGGCATAATCACATTAAGAACCTATGCACATCCTAGATTCAAGTGAGTACATTTGCCCATATACTATTTGCACGTATGACACAGTTTGTAGCACCGACACTTTAGATTGAAGACGTGGTGTCTCAACACCATAACAAACAACACCTAATCATATGATCAGATTCAACTATTACCAATATCGATGTGTCTTAGTCGTGTCTAGTGTCTGTGTCGATGCTTAATATATCACACATCAATGAATTGTCAAAAATTTTGTAAATGTTACCATTAAAAAAAGATAATATTTTACCTATGGATTCTTTTCCTCCAGTTTCATTATCACCTTCAGAATCATTAGATGAGTCATCACCCTCATCATCATCACTCCACGGCAATGTTCTCTTCATGGTATTGGTACATGAAGATAAAACCCTGTTAACACATAAACATGCAATTAAAATGTAAATTAAACCTCCAAAAATGATAACAATCATTAAAAATGCTACACTGCAAAGAAACAGTAAGTAATACATCAAACACAGAGACCCATAAAAAAATTCAGAAATTGTTGAGAAACAGACAGCGTGCAGTAAGATTAGGGGAATAAGCAGTGATGAATTTAGGAGGAAAAGGAAAGAAAAGAGAGAAAAGAAAGAAAGATGAAGAGAATACCGATAAAGCGGCGACAGAGACTCGGTTGTTCGCCGTTGATAGTTTTGAAATCGGAATTTGGATTCCTGATTAGTGACGCGTCCTCGCAATCACAAACCGGTCAAACCCTAACATTCAACAAAAAGTATTTAGGGTTTTTTCCATTGCAAATCCTAATTTTTGGGCATATTCTCTGATTTTCAATAGTTTATTTGCATTTTTGCAACTTTTTATATAAATATTATTGAATTTCTCTTAACAATAGTATTTTAAACTTTTTTTTACAATCCATACTAAATACTCGTACTCAAACATTAAATCTCTCTAAAAACTAAACTTTTAAAATTATACAAATTTTTTAATAAATTTAATACCATGTGCCGATCGCCGATGGCCAGGTATGATAATAAGTACCTTACATCTGTCGAGGTCAAAATGGTTCGCCTCCTATTGAAATTCTACATCATGGAGTCTAGTGTAGTGATTGAGTGGTGGCAAGAGGGAAATGACTCCCTTAATGAATAACTGATTAAGCTTGGATATTATGATGTTTTTATGAGTATCCTCTAGCGTTGTTTAACCTTTATTTATTGTCTTAAAGGTCAAATGACTAAGATTTCTTTAAAGGAGCGGAAGAAAAAATGAAAAAAATCAAGGCAACGCACAAGAAAATTGACCTTCACATCCATCTCGAGGGTGTGATTATCATGGGTGCGAAAAGGCATGCTAAAGGGCGTCTCCCTGACTCACCAAGTGCTAGACCCAGAAGCTTGAGAGGGATTCTTCATTGGCTACGGGGAGTGAAATTGTTCCGCCTACCACAGAGGAGGCGAGTGTCTAAAAGTCTTTTGGTGACGGGGTTCCACCTCCTAAGTCTTCCTTATGGAATGATCCTGACTTTGACGCTTTCAAGTTTACCGAATTCCAAATTCTTTTCTCCAAAGAGTTTCCAAGAAACTACAAAGCTCTCAGCAACAAGCCATCCCCAAGCTATATGACATGAAAGAGAATCACTTTCTAAGGGGGTTGATGCTGGAACATGTCAATAGGGAAAGGCGAGACTAGGTCGAGAATGAGTTGAGAGTAAAGCTCAAACATTATGAGGAGAGTTATGCCAAGGGCCATGAGATGATTGAATCCTTGCAAAAGGAGAACGAACCCTGAGAGGCTAAGTTGGGCATGGTAGAGACTAAAGCTAGGGAATTGGCTGCCTCAAAGAAAACTTTGAAACCATCCTTAGAAGATGCCCTTCGCTCAAAGAAGGATCTGGAGGGAGAGGTTTTAGACTCAAAGGATTACTTAACGGTGACCTATGATACCTATTTTTGGTGTGTGAAGTAACAAGTGTCCTTCTTCTACTTCAAACTAGATTTGAGCTCTTTGGATATCTTAAAGGTTATTCGTGATGGATGGCTAATGGATGATATGTGTCCTCTTCCACAGTGCCAGGAACTCCCTCAGCTGTGGGCCCTCAGGATGGCCTCAATGGTGAGACATCAGGGGGAGGTGAGTCGGTGACTCCTCACCCGAAGATAATACCCTTGCAGAAGGTAACCTTGGAATATGGCTAATGAGCTTTGGCGGATTTCTTGTTTTTTTTTCCTTGGACCTTTGTTGTTTTTTTCCATACTTTTTACCTTGTGGGTAAGAACATACTTATACCCCTTTTAGGCATCTTTGATTTATCTATTTTGCCTTTATTATTGTTTTTCCTATGTGATTTTCTTAGGATTGTTTTTTAAGCGACTTCATTTACTTACTCAGGAGCCCTATTAGGGCCCTTCGTTGATATTGCACCATAAGGCGACAAGGATCCTTATGAATATTCAGTGTATCTCACCGCCTCGAAGGGCGACAAGGATTTCCGATAAGGATCCAACATGTTTTATCGCCTCCATGAGCGATAAGGATCCATTGTAAGAATCCCAAGTTTCTTATTGCCTTGAAGGGCAAGAAAGAATCCTCGTGAGAATTCAATGCATTTTATCACCTCAAGGGGTGGTAAGGGTTCCTCATAGGAAACACAACATGTTTGATTTCCTCAAAGGGCAACTAGGGTTCCTTGTATGGATCCATCATTTTATCTCTTTCAATGGAGGAAAAGATTCCTTGTGAGAATCCAGCATTTCATCTCCTCTTAAGGGTGACAAGGATTCTTTCATGAGGATCCAACGTGTTATCTCTTCAAGGGGAGACAATGATTTCTGGTGAGAATCCCTCATTTCTTATTGCCTCGAAGGGCAGAAAGGATTCCTCGTGGGGATATTTTATCTCCTTCAAGTGCGGCGAGGATTCCCCATTAGGACCCAACATGTTTGATCGCTTCAAAGGACGATAAGATTCACCTATAAGAGTCCATCAATTTTTAGCCATCATGAGAGGCAGATTCATACAAATTTTATTCCTTTAGTTTCCTGTAAAAAGGGAGATGAACATGCAAATAGTTCAAAACAATAACATGAAAAGCCTTATTAAAAACCTTGCCCTTGCACGAGGAGCAAGGGAAAAGAGTGTTTCTCTATAAAGATAATGTTTCCTTACAAACGAAAGAGGTATAATGTTTTCCTAAAACCAAAATAACAACAAACAAAAACATCAATAAAAATTTATAACTTCATGGGCTTTAAGTTGAGGCTTACTTCTCTTCTCGTACTTTTGGGGAGAAATCTCTTCATCTTTCACGACCACTTCAGGTGGCTTGATTCTCTGGCCAGTGCTTTTGGCGTTCACGCCCAAGGTTCTAACTCTCTTCAGCTTTAGACTTTTTACACAATATCTTCTAGCAACTTCTTGGTCTCCTTGAATGACTCCAACCCACACGTCAAAATGCGGGTGTTTCATGCACAGAGATAAGGTATACAGGGAGGCACCCAACTAATTAAAGGTTGGTCACATTATGATCATATTATAGAAAGACGATACATTTATAACTATATATATGACCTTGATTTTATTAGCATTTTCTTCCTCCCCGAAGGTTGTTTTAAGCTTTATGTAACCCTTTACTTGTACTTGCTCCTTAGAGAATCAAACCAGTGACCTTTTGAAAGCTTTTAGATCATATGGGTCGAGGCAAAGCCTCTCAAATGCATCCCAATATAGGATATATGTGGAGCTTCCTTGATCTACCAACACTCTTTTAATTTCCCACTCATTGCACCTCAAGGTGATGACCATAAAGTCATTGTTGTGGGGATGAATGTATATTATGTCTTTTTCCAAAAAAATGATCTGAACTTTTGGTGCTTTGGTCTCAACTATCTCTGAATTTATGGGCAGGTTCCCTATAGTTGATATCTATCTAGCATATCTTCGTCGGGAGAAATTGGTCTCTCTGCCCCAAAAAACCCTCATACGATAGTATTAAAGGTGTGACGCATAGTCTTGTCGCTATCGCCTTTGCACACCACCTTTGACATATTTCTTGAGGTGGCCCTTGTGGATCAGATGATCTATCTCCTTTTTAAGCTGATAGCAATCTTTTGTATGGTGTCCCTTAACTTTGGGTAACTTACACCATGTGCCAAATTTAGGTCCCATAACATTCTCCTTTAGATCTAGAAGCCTAGGGATATCGTATAAATGGAGGACCTCCCACCAAATGTGCTCGTGGCGAGTGTTTAGGGGTTGTGAAACTCTCCACGTCTTTTCCATCTCTCTTAAAGTTTGTCTTATCCCTGATGGGGAATGGGTAGTTGTTCTTTCACGAATGATGCGGGCCTTTAGAGTTAGGAACACACTTGAAGGTGATAAAAGTACACAAGAAGGGGGGTTGAATTGTGTTTTCTGTTTTCTTAGTTTGCATCTGATCAAAGTTCAAAATCTAAATTGGTGCTCAGAGTCTGGTTAATTCTTAGGAGCGGAATGTTAACAAAAGAAAATAAATAATAGTAGAAGACACAAAGATTTATATTGGTTCCTCCCCTAACTGAGAGTAGTCTAGTCCTCTTGTTTCACAAGAGATTTTCACTATAATCAAAACATGATTACAATCGCTTATGCATTATGCATAAAACTTTACAATTGCTTAGACCCAAGGTCCCAAACTTCTACTCAAGCTCCTCAATCGAGACTTTTTTCTCAGGTTCCACGAACCTAAGACTTCCTTACTCAGGCTCCCATCCCAAGACTTCTGCTCCAAGTCCCATGAGACGAGCCTTTCTGCTTATACATATCAGGTCAAGAATTACTGCTCCAATTCCATGTATTAAGCATTCCTAATTAAGCCTCTCAGGCTCAATACTTTTGCTTCAGGTTCCATGAAATGAGCCTCTGCTTTCACCCTACCGATCAAGTCTTACTGCTCCAAATTTCATGAACCGGGCTATCCTGCTCAAGCCACACTGGCTCAAGACTTTCTTTCCCAATCAATCTACTTGATTGAGACTTTCACTGCTCAAGCACATAGCAAGAGACTTACGGGGCTCAAGCATCTTAGCTCGAGACTTCCTTGCTTGTATCCTAATGATACACGACTTCTACTCAATTAATCCACTTAGTTAAGACTTTCACAGCTCAAGCACATATCAAGATACTTATGTGGCTCAAGCATCTTGGCTCAATGCTATTAGACGATGGAAATGATCTAGAAGGGGGGTTGAATAGATCACTAATTTTTATCAAAAATTCGGAGCTTAAAAATTGTTTCAAAAACGTGCGGAAGCGGCCAAGGATTTTAATCGTCTAAACGAACCGTTATTGGTAAGATCAGATATGCGTAGCTAAATGGAATAAAATCAATGATAAAACGAGTCAA